ATCAAAATTAATATTCCAAATAAATAACCACAGCCTTTTAGATCACATTATCAATGCACAAAGACAGAACAAAAGAGGTAGAAACAATAGAAACAAAACAACAATAGAAGCAGAACAACAAATGAAGCAAAACTTGGCCGACAGTGAATTAATACCCAAGAGCTTAATATAACTAAGACTAACATAGCATGATCACACCGCACAGCAGCACCTTCCGAACATAAGTAAAACAGAAGAAGCAGAGGATCAGAAGCAATAATACTAGATATTGAACCGTCTTACGTCTAGAACTGCTAAGAAATGCAGGAGGAAGCGGCTGACCTTGAAGAATGTAGCAGCTAGCCGTGTGGAAGGCGACAATATCATGACGTTCTGACTGTTCAGATCAACAAAATTAAACTTTTTATCATCACAGGGTAACAGAGTTAGTTATATCACAAGATTGCTGCTTTAAAAGCATTTTCATCTTGCTTCGTTTAATGCTGGCACTGACGTAGCCTATAATTATGTATTTTGAAATGTGCTATTGCACGAGACACATTTACCGTCAATGCCGATAACGTCAACGTCAATGCCGATAACCTCGCAACGGTCGACGGCATTCGATAGAAACGATCTATTTTATGGACAGAACCAAATCACATATTTCCAGTGCGATCAAAACCGCTTGGCGGTCATCATGTGGTTATTGAACCCTATAAATCGGATATCTAACCTGTATTGTACGTTTTTTTCGGTGACGAACGGCAAGGTAAGTGCAGTTTTTGGCGACTCGTGTGTCATTTGTGGCGACTCGTGTGTCATTGACGGTGGACCATTTTAAAATTTGTGACAGATGTCAGCAAGCGGATAATTCTTTGTACGGTAATAATTTGAATAAATCGCTCTCAAATAAATCTGAAAGAGGCTCCAACAGAAAAAAATAGCAGAAAAATATTCTAAATCCAGCAGACCCTTGAGGTGACCTGCATACATCCAAAGTACTGCACAACAAAATAAGAAAACTCTTTTGTCATATTATACATCTAGCGGGAATATACAGAAAAATGAATAAACTATTTTGATATTATGTTTGGCTAATTATCAATATCACACTTATTCCGTCTGAACTGAGGTGCAAAAATAGCATGAAAATGCAGGGTCATCAATTAATTGCATGATAAAATTGAAATTATTGCACATTCCTTTTCAGACACGACCATTCCTAGTTTTCACATTCTCAAAAGTATTTACAATGACATGAATTCATCAGTACCTGCGGACCAACCATGCAACACACGACTAGCGATTTACCGACTTGCAACCAACGAAGAGATTATTTTTAAAAACTAGTTTCTATTCGGCAATGAATGCATGGGTCAAAGTTGATTGGCTGGTTAATAGCTGTCATGAGATTTACCTTAAAAAATCCAGCTCCTCAGAAGCGCTCACCGCAACGCAGGTCGCAAAATTGAGGGTCATAAACACGAAGGTCATTCAAAGTCAAGGCTATCAAATGCTCAAACATGACTGTCTCAACTCTTAAAGGTATTCATGTGCTGTGGAGAAGCATACATTCCAAGCACTATATATGTATAATGTTATATTATTATCGTTTTTATTTAGCCCGTTTATCTTACTATATTTATATCTATACACTATAATCATTTTGTTTGACGTTGCTCGTATACTAGTAAAATATTTTTTTGACGTCAGCTTTTCCGTGCCCTAACTGCATTATGTCAGAATTTTCGAATTTTTCTGTACTTGAACATCAATGCGTCGGAGTCGAGTTCGCGGAAATCCCAAACGTGTTTTTGCCCCAATTGGTTGTCTTTGTAAAAACTCGCTCAGAAATATACACCTTGACATTTCTGATGACCAACTGTTAACCACTCAACTGGTGTTCGCGCGAGCTCTCTCCACCAGCACATCTTGTTGTTCAAATCCTTGTTAGACCAAAAAGTGTAAATCATTCTGGTAAATACGTTTTAACATTTATCTCCATTGCCTTTTTTAGCGACTTCAACTGTTTGAAACTATTTTTTTTTTCAATATTTATTTTTTGCTGGTGTAGAAGAGAATTGGAACCGAGAGATCTCCGTTGGCCAATTGTCACAAAAAACTTAATTCGTATGGCAAATACCACTCGTATGCTGGAAGATCTTGTACCTACAAATGAGTATTTTTGTGCTGTAATCTTCTTCGCTGTATATTAGATCAATTAGTGAAGTTTCAAGCTAGATATTTACCGATTAGTTGACAAGCTTGAGTTACCATACTTAGATCCATCATCCATCTGACCGAAAATCCTCCTTGCAACACCGGGATACCCTGCAACACCGAATTACTTCGCAACACCGTGTTACCCTGAAAAATCGGGTAACCATGCACTACCGATTACCCTGTAGAATTAAATTACTCTGCAAAAAAACGAGGGGTTAGTCTATCGCTTCAGAGCAGCTACTCTGCATGATTTGATCAGAAAGTTCCAGCCTCAGCTAGCTTTAAAAAATAGTGCTATATATAGAATCGACCAGAAACCAGACATCACCTAGTTAATCATTTACGTTGACATAGTTATGCTAACGAATGACTGTGGCGTCTAGTTATTGTACTGTAAATGAGTTCCAAGGTGATCATCCGGTTATTATGAGTCTAAACTAATTTTACGTATTTTAATTGTGCAACTCATGCTAATTTTCGAAAAATGGTCGAAAATGTGCAAAAAATTTCTCGTTTATGCTTTACATAATAACTGGAAAGTAAATTTTTTCACCTTCACTGAAAAAAGTCGACCAATTTTGAGATAACCTAGAATTTTTATTAGAAAATTTTTGTGTTCCTAGAATACTTTCTTGGATACAATGAATTGTTTTCATGAGTAAATACACTGTAATCCTGAAATTCGCAGTGACTTGAAATTATTTTGGAAGTAACCTTCACCTTAATGGCTTAATCCGGCTACCTTTGACGACCAAATAACGCAATTTCACTGGAGAAGAGATGCCTCGAAAAAATAATAATAAAACTTGCACAATTGTAACACAAATGGTGAAACATTTAGCGAATATTTTTTATTTCTCCAGTTGTGATTTAAACTGGCCAACACTGGTCGATTAAAATTATTCATCTTGTAATAATTTTGCGCTGTAATTGCGTATAAGTAGAAAATTACTACGAAGGTAAAATTAATTGCAGGCATGAAAAGGCTTTTTATAAATTTCTCGTATCCTTTGTGCGACAATTTCTTCATTCAAGATGTATTGGCCCAGGAACGAATTCACAATTTACGAATAAACACTTTAATTGATTGTTAAAAGTGCATTCGACGCGAGAGTTCGTTTGAAAAGTTACACTGACTATTGACATGTTTTGTCAAAAGATTACGCGTATCAAGATACGAGAACGTCGTCAAACAGAAACTGAATCATTATATTATACGACGTGTGATTGTGATGCAATTTATGTCTAAGTCCTTATAGCTGTCATCAAAAATTTCAACATCTTACAGTGCTCAACAGAACAATCTAATGAGAAAAATCATTTAATTCTTCATAGACAATGTGAGCATTCCTGGCTGATTTCGAGAGTACTTACAATTTTTACCGCTCTTCATGAGAGGTAAACCTGCATGTTTGCGCAAATAAAAACTTTCTCGAGACTTTCATAGGACTTACTTCACTCATTCCATGAGTGAAACTTCCGGGGAACGCTTTTCTATTCGGTTCAGCGAGATGCTGCATAGTAAGTTTCTCCAATGCAGTTAACATGTTTTCCAACCTCATTGAGGCAATTCACTTGAGGGTTCATTGAAGGAAAACAGAAAACATCGCCATAAACATAGATTTTATTAGTTAGAAGTAACCAAATAACATTTAAATACTCGGCTGAAACATGAATGATTTATACCAAACAAATATGATGCACAGTACGTACATATTATCGTACAGTTGACACTTGAAAAGGCCACTTGGTGTACATACGATGAAGTTAAAGCTACGTGTTACACTGTACATGTTCATGAAGTCGTTGAACAATCGTAATTTGGAATGAGTTTATAATTAAAGAAAAAACTAATCAATGCATGGCTACCTACATTTTACCAAACATATATACAATCATAATCTAACTTTATTCTTAATTTCTGTTCAAAAAACGATTTATAGTACCGTAGATCAGTTGAGTTTATAGTTAATTTTCGAATTTATCAGCAATCAAGGATTGGCGTCTTCAATCGTTTACTGTAAAAAAGGAAGTCAATCATTAAGGAATAATAAAATTAAAACACTTTTGCTTCACCGATAAAGCTTTGTGCAAATTAAGACATTTACTGTACGTGTGGTAGAAATAAGCAAGCAAATTTAAACTAAGAGGTACGTATACTTATAACCTATTTCAATCTGTGAGTTATATCGTTAAAAAACGTTTTCACCATAAAATATTTTCTAAATAATAAAGTAATACCTACAATCAGCATCAAACATCATCGTAAAGTATGGTTGTATGACTGACCTTGAATGTTCTCAAGCATATATATATGACTGCTATTTATGCCATAATATATAATTTGTCAGGATCGAAATCGAACAATAAAGTTTTTCATTGAAAACAAAAACAACGTAAACAGTCTTCATAGTACTGTACGAGTCAAACGCTTTAGGAAATCCATTTCTCATAATTAAACTTGTACTATGTGTTTTGGTAAACTTCCTATTATAGGGTGCGCGCGTTGAATATTAAACACATTAAACATTCAAAATCGGAGGAATAGTGACCGTGTAATAACTCTTAAAGATCACATCAAACAAGAGAAATGTTACGTAAAAAACTTATTTTATACCCTTTAATCGATACGCGAATACGAAAATGAAAGCAAATCAATACATATATATCAACGAACAAGCCAGTATAGTTTCCATTCAATTCATGGAATGACGTGTGAAGATATTCCAATTCGTTTCTCAGACATAAATTACAGCTGATTGTTTAGGGACAAATGTCACGTAGTTGATGTCCAGTAGAAGAAAAAGTAATTACCAAATCAATTAGCACCAGAATACACAAGTAATTTACCTAATAACACAAAGTTTTCTTCGTAAATTTTAGTATGAATTTCCTTAATTACTTTTTACAGGCTGAGTGGTTGGTTACTCATCTTCATCATCGGCAATGTTTTTCAGTAGGGTTCCAAGGGCATATCCTGCGAACATAACGGCCCCAGCCACGGCCTTCAAAGTTTGTTCCGTTGAGTCATCGCTGCTTGTCCTTTGTAACTGTCGTCCATCGGCGCCATCCATTGCCCTGGCAGAGGCGCGAGATACTCTGGAGGAAACCATCGCGGCCTCTGGAGCAGCTCTAGCCAGGGCACGAGCGTGACCTGTGTTCGAGGAGACCGTTGACCCAGCGAACAATGACCCAGCCTGGGAGAAACATTGAGTTGCGTTGTTGATGGCATACCCAAAGTTGATGACGCTCTTCAAGCCTCCGGGAAGGTAACTTTCCAGAGCTTCATCGATGTTAAAACCAACCTGCGAAGCGAGCTCAATGGCCCAGTGGTGACAGTTCCTATCAGTCAGTAAGTAGGGTAAACCGTTCAGGGAAATTTGACGGGCCTTAGAATTGATTTGTTGGGGTGAACACTCCAAGCTAAAGCGGCGAGACATCTTCCACATGTAGGTAACATCCGGATAACCTCTATTCCAGTAAGGAATAAGGTACCCGTCTTCGTCATTGGCTTCGTAAGTTGCATCTCGATCCGTCCAATCGAAACAGAGCGCCCAGTGTTCGGCCACGCCACCGTCTATCTGTCGAACCATGAGCTTCACTGTGCACTGACGACGACGACTGTCGTTATCTGTTAGCCACGGAAACGTTTTTCTGGTGCCATCAAGCAGCGTCGAAAGCAAATCCATTTTAAATGTGACAACCAAATAATTCTTCTACAAACTGGTCGGCGCGTTTGTGGGTCGTTTAGGAGTTGGCCTCTGAGCGAGCAGGAGACCTGAGGATAATATATTTCAATTTTGGACCCATGTTCAACTTAATTATTATGTGTGATCATGCTAACCCCTGTATCAAATATTAAATCTTAGTGATATAGCTGGACAATTGGTATTGCGTGTGCAAGCGCTCAAATCACCCATTCGGTTTCATATCACAAGTTTCTAAAACAAACGCACGCATAATTTGAAATGTATACAAGAAATTCAGATTACAGCCAGTATTGATGAAATGAAATTATTTCCGAGTAGTATAGCTTGCAGTTTATAAGGATGTAGATAAGGCTGAATGTTCGAACCAAAAGTTTATCAAGTGAACTCGAGAACATAGTCGGAACTACCAACTTGATTACTTTATTTTCAACGTCTCAGCCGACATGATATACACATAGCGTTCCGAGTCCATTCTTCATGCCGGATATTCTTTATTGAAATAATTTTATGCCTGTATTATAAAGACTCGTCTTGCTGGTGTTTGCTGGCTATCATTATTCTTTAATCATAAAAATTCCCTCCCAAAGTCTTTCACACCCTAGTCAGGAAGATGTCACTCACCTTCAAATTGTTACAAATTTATGAGAACCTCTTCGCCTCAAATAAATGGAAGACAGTGTAAGCAATGGTGAAATCTTCAGATTTATTTTATTCCTCTCTGATTTTCTGGGATTTTTAATAGTAGTCGGCACTGTTTCACAGGTCGGCAGTTAATACTTGCTTCGTGTCCCGATAGAAGTGATCTGCTGCAGCACGGCTAAGCCCTTTTAAATGCGATACAAGGTCCGTTCAAGCAACATTGGCAGTACAGAACGCGTCCAAAGATAAACACGTGCATATCTTGTCGCAATCATGGTTAGCTTATCGTACAAAGAGTAACAGCCTCAACGTAGACGTTATGCTTTTTGTCTGTTAGATGCTTAGCACCGTAGAATTTATGAGTATTTTTAGCGCATTTTCTCATTTATGGAAAAAATGTACTATTGTGCTCGCCATGTCCGTCCGTCCGTCTGGCTGTCTGTCTGTCTGTCTGTCCGTCTGTCCGTCTGTCCGTGACCTCAAGTTTTCGTCGACGAGAAAATGCGCTCTCTGTCACTCACTGCAGTGAGTACTGAGTTATATTTTTTTTATTAATGATAATTATTTTCCAGTAGATTTTACACATTTAATTTTTTCATGGCATTCTTTTCTAAAATGACTTTTTAAAGTCCATGTAAAAGATGTAAGCGTGGATATTCTATGCATTAACCACATGCAAATCAGGATTTTTTGCAAAATACAGGTCCCAATTCATAATTGAGTTTTAATGTCAAACACATTTGATTTGTTAAGTTTACCGGCATAATAAGTAGTAAGAGAAAAAATAATCATTTATAAAATAAATTTGTTCACATCTATTTTTCTCTACTAACAGAAATAGTGATATTCTTTCTCAAATCGATTTATGAATTGAGAAGATGCCACAACAAATGAGTCATAACTAGATTAACTTCATATTTTTATATAGCATAAGTTAAACCATTTGTCCATGAAGGAAAAGATCCATTTTGGTTGGTGAGGGAATGAAGATTTCATGCCTCCTCTAAAAAAACATTTCAGAATCAGGGAGCGGGCCGAGATGAGTGGGTAGAAGGTAGAATTTTTTTAACTGAAATTAAACACTCGCACCTAAGAGTTATCAAGGGAAAATCGGTGGTCTGAAAAAAATGACAAAGAACGATTATGACGCTTGCAAAAATGTGGAACAGTGTGAAAAGAAATGAAAGAACTAAGTTGAATCTATCTAATGCAATCTTTTTTGTTGATATATTATTGCCGCATCCACGGTGTTTATGCAGCAAGAGCTAGCCGCTGTTGTTATAGATCGCGACATAGAACTCATGCCTTCTACACGTCTTTTAATACATCTTTTTGTTTACGAGCAAAAAACGCGATTTAAATACTCATTCTTGTATCACCATTCATTCTTGTATCAACTCAACAATCATACATTTATCCCCAATTGTATCGACACTCGCATGTTAACATTTATAATTGTATTTCAATGCAAAAGTACATTTCTCTTGAAATTAAGGTGGGATAATCTCAAAAATGATTGCTCAAGACAACAAACACATGTGTAAGAGTCAAAGCTTAGACTTGGTGCGAATGTGATTATAAGCGATTACATTTATTCCAGAATACTGTTCATGGTTGCATTGCATATGTGAAAAGTGGTTTCCAACTTTTTACGATTGTACCAATAACGGTCTTTTGGGCGTGGTGCGCGAACATTTGCTAAGTCATGAAAGATTTTGAGTTAGTATTCTTTTCTACAAAAAAGTGTTTCCAGCTTTAAGACAAGATAATCTTGAAATGATTTGAAACTGTTTCCAGGCGTCACTCACTAGATCCCAGCAGTCCACCGTTATATAAAAATTAAACTCCTTTAACGTGCAAAATAATCGGCATATGATATTGGGTAAAATAAACTTCATATTTACCTACATATTAGAGGCTGATGGGTAGCATTTGCCTTCTCCGGCGATTGTCATGGCGGCGTCTTCTAAAAAAGGAAACACTCCGAGATATGATAACATCGTCGAACTGGTATGGTTGATTACATACAACGTGTACACAACGATTGTGAGGCATGTTCTATCTAAACCTTATTGGTGTCTGGGAAAATTACAACATCTTACGTAGCTTATCAGGAAAACGACAATACATTAGTGATTAGACGATTAGATGACAATATAAGAATTTTAGGCTCAGATCGAGAATTCTATCAAATTTAACATCACTTTTTTAACTTAAATCCTTAGACATATCGTGTTTAAGCGAATTAAAGCCTTCACGGATTTATTGCACCCACTCGAAGAGCAAAACCTAAATGAAACGCTTTTCTGAGCTTCTTCATAGTCTGATCATTATCAATATCATCAGAATAAGGTAGCAGCGAATTGCTATATCAAGCTTCTTCAGTGCTATGAACATGTTTGTAACGTCAATGTTACTATACTGCCCCTACAGTCAATGAAGGAAGATAGAGAACATCGTAACAAATATAAACTTTATTAGCTAAAAATTACAATGTCCTTTTAAGCACAAGGCTAAAATATGCGCGATTTATGCTTAACCTAACGCGAACTATGACCATCGTATAGCTGGCACTTGAAAAGGCCACTAGGTTCACATTTATACCATGCTATACGAATTCGCTAACTAATCATAATTTAAAATAAATTTGAAGTTAAATAAATCAAGAGAACTATCAAACAGCTTGAAACTTTTCCAAAAGCAGAGAAAAATAATTAGATGCTATTTTTATTTTTACTCCACAGAAAAATGCAAAAATCCCTCAAAATTATTGAGTGTTCAAACTATTGAATTACGGATTAGCGTCTTCAATTATGATTGAAGCAACGATGATTAGTAAAAGATTAGTTCTAATTATTAGCGGAACAATAGAAATAAAAAAAACACCTCTACATCGTCCATAAAACCTTGTGCTAATTAACACAATGTATATAATGGACGTGTGAGAAAAATTGTAAAGCATAATTGAACAAAAAGACTGAACTGTACAAACTATATTAAGCAATACCTAATATCATTGAAGAACATTCATGATTATAAAATAATCTCATACGAGAAAGTTATTACAATAATCATCAAAGAATATCATTGATTGACATCTTATCATAATTTGCCAGGTTTGGAAACGAGCAATAAAATTTTGCCAATTGTCAAAAACCACGTGAACAATTTCCTAATCCTGTACAAAGCCAACTCATTCAGATCATTTATCTGAAGAATGACATTTCTGTTACGTGCTTTGAAACACATTCATTACTAGCTTGCGAGCTTCGCATTTGGACGCTTTATTAATGCAGCTAATTAATATTTAAAGGTTACGAGTTATGGTTTTGTTATCAAACAAAATAACCACAAGGAAAGTCCATAACTGTAAAAAAAATAAATCAGCCAGATTTTACCGGGCTGCAATAAATCAATTTGTTACAACCCAATTGACCCGAAAATTTTGATAAAGAGAAAAAAATCAATGAAATACTCGGTATAGATTCTCTTCAAATACCGGAATGTCTTGAGAAGATATTCCTACACGTTCTACTTCATAAATTATGCCCGATTTTTGAAGGAAAAATGCTTACTGTAGCAAGTTAAGTGCACAAGTTTAAAGGCATAATCAACTTATAAAGCCCTTAAAAAAAATTCTTTCACAGCCACAGGCATCGTGCCTCATGAGAAAGCCTTTTCAAAAAATATTTAAACTACAAGCAGCCACACTTCTTGTTCATGATTGTGGAGTGTGGACCGGGAAATAATTTTTTTTCAGTAGAAGATGAGTTATTTTGCAAATCTATAAGCACCAGAACAGACAAGGCATTTATCTAATTATTTTAGATTCTATATGCACATTTTAGTAGAAATCTCATTAATTACTTCTTCTAGACTGAGTGGTTGGTGACTCATCCTCATCACCAGCAATATTCTTTAGTAGGGTTCCAAGAGCATATCCTGCGAACATAACGGCCCCAGCCACGGCCTTGAAAGTTTGTTCCGTCGAGTCGTCGCTGCTTATCCTTTGCAACTGTCGTCCATCGGCGCCATCCATTGCCCTGGCAGAGGCGCGAGATACTCTGGAGGAAACCATCGCGGCCTCTGGAGCAGCTCGAGCCAGGGCACGAGCGTGACCTGTGTTCGAGGAGACCGTTGACCCAGCGAACAATGACCCCGCCTGGGAGAAACATTGCGTTGCGTTGTTGATGGCATACCCAAAGTTGATGACGCTCTTCAAATCTCCAGGAAGGTAACTTTCCAGAGCTTCATTGATGTTGAGACCAACCTGCGAAGCGAGTTCAATGGCCCAATGGTGACAGTTCCTATCAGTCAGTAAGTAGGGTAAGCCGTTCAGGGAAATTTGGCGGGCCTTAGAATTGATTTGTTGGGGTGAGCACTCCAAGCTAAAGCGACGAGACATCGTCCACGTGTAGGTAACATCCGGATAACCTCTATTCCAGTAAGGAATTAGGTACCCGTCTTCGTCGTTGGCTTCGTACGTGGCAGCTCGATCGGTCCAATCGAAATAAAGCGCCCAGTGTTCGGCCACGCCACCGTCAATCTGCCGGACCATGAGCTTCACTGTGCACTGACGACGCCGACCGTCGTTATCTTTCAGCCACGGGAACGTCCTCCTTGTGCCATCCAGCAGCGTCGATAAGAGTTCCATTTCGAATGTGACAGCAAAATAGTTCAACAAATTTGACGGCGTGTTTGTGGGTCGTTTATAGTTGGCCTCGGAGCGATCAGGAAACCTGTAGATAATCAATATTCAATGTTAGATTACAATTGTCAAGCCGTATCCAACATACTTACAATGTGAGCTAATGTCAGCCACAACATCTATTCAGTTCAATTGCGTGGATAAGCGCACGGCTATACATCTTTTTAAATTTCAAACATACACCTCCTCAAATAAAATATAATAATTTAGTTTAAGCACGAACTAATTTTTATTATAGAACAGAAATCGCAACATCCTATGATCCTATTGGGTAGTGGGTACTAGTATATTGCAACTTCCTACGACTGTTTTATTCCGAATTGAAACAAATCACAAACTAATTCATTTCAACAGTTCAACTCCCAGCTTAAAAATATTTTCGTAAGTGGCTGTAGTAAATCAGCTGTCATTTCAATTTCGCGATGTGTCCGTTTTCGGGGATTGAAATAAAGTAGTTGACTAAAGAAATTTTCTTTGAGCGACTACCGGAATCATAGAAAACGTGACAATTGAGCAACAGTAGAATTTATTCTTTCAGTTAAAGCAAATTTTATGAGCAAACTGCAAAATAAATGCGCCTGTAAAAAGTTAAAAGAGACAAAAATCTACGTTCTTACGTTTGATGTTATGCACTACAGATGAACTAATAAATTCCACTATATTACGCAACTTTACACATATTAATCGAAGTGAATTCGTGTCGGGAGCAAACTTAGCCCTTAGGTACTCACAGTTAATGAATTGGAGACTTTACAGAGACACTGATGGATACTTGATTTCTTCAAAGTTAGTTTCTTAGTCTCTGCTTTTTGGTGTCTTAGCATAAAACTTTAACACAGGTCAAAATTCACGAGTGCCCTCTTTCTTCGTAGTTCGTACTCTAGTACGAATGATAAACAGCTGCACGCAGTGCACGGTTAAACCTTCTTAAAGGCGACACTAGGTTCGTTCAGGCAACGAGTACAGAACGCGTATCGAACGTTCTCCTAAAGAGAAACGCGTGTATACCTCTTCACATTGAAGTTAGATTACCTTATATTAAGTTGGAGCTTCAACGTTGCAGCAATGTTGCTTATCACAAATGAATTAAATGAATATTTAACGTGATAATCCTTATTCACATTATTTTTTATAATATGCCATAGAAAACATCTGCTCGATCGCAAACGAACAAAGAATAATTTCTGGATGATATTCTTCTTTAAACGCATCAAAAAGCCAGAGAAATCAAGATCTGTGGAAAACCGTTTTTTTGGGTTAACACTATGTGCTATTATTATTGAGGAAATTTTCGATTGATTCAAAAATAAATTACTTTACTAAGTAAGACGAATTTTGATCATAAATTAATTTACTTTTCTTACACTGCAGAAATGTCGATTAGGTTCAGGAGAAGTGGTATTTTATATCACATAGACTTTGAATTAAACTGTTCTCCATTACCTTGGCAATTTGTTCTTATAGCCTTACTTCGTTCACGCTATAACAAGATAAGAAGTAGATAACATATTTTCAAAGAATGATACGCGTGACTCTTCTGTCCATGCACAGGGAATGAACTAATGTTGCTGGTGTGGTGAGTGGATTGATGTTGAATGTTAGTCGCCCCCAAACGGTTAAGATAAATGTAACGGATGGGTAGTAATAAGCTGCCTTCATAACTACGACAGCAGCCTTGTAAAGCCGGAGCTGGCTCTGAAGACACCAACTCAATAACACTCCTTTCCCTCCCTCTCTCTTTTTGCGACAAAAATTATAGGAGGAGCGACATGTGCAAAATTATGTATAGATAGCAATCAAATGATATGCTAAAATACATGCTGTGCAGGACTAAAAAAGAATGCAATTACCAAGCATTCATTTTATTTCGTATGTTATAAATGGATTTTAATCATTGAAATAATTCCGTCCACGCTCGCGTCTAGTAGACGGAGAGGCATCCGCAGGAAAAATTTAAATGGCATGTGTGAAAATTACGAAACGTCTGAACCTTTACTCATTTATTTGATGGTAGTTTTTAAGGAAAGACGATCGCCGCCAGTTCTGTTTTGCAAAATCTCTGACTTTTAATGAAATAAGTACTCGGAATATATCCATCCATCCATCAACGGACAATACGATTTATGTTATGAGTGATGAGATGATGTTCTTTGTATAATTTGTTCTGGGATTATCCAAGTTCAAAAGTGAAGTATGTAATAGCCTGTATTCATTATTTAAGCTTAGAACGGTAATGTGTCAGTGGTATATTTTTACTCCTGGCATCAATGCAGTTATTTTTTATAACGTATCGTGTTGTTCCGGCATGCTTTCTTGCTCGGCCGTAAAAATATATGTTAATTTTAATTTTATATGTGCACATACGGTACCCACAGGCATGTTTTTTTAAACTAATTATAGTCTCATGAAAATTTGGCAGGAGTGCACCACAAAGTAGGTATCTTGGCTTTCATCATTTCTTTCTCGTCATCATCAAGATTAAAAACCATTTCATTGATTAAGTTATTATGAAATAAATGAAAATTCAAAACTTTTCAAAACCTATTTTACTCAAGACAGTAATAATTGCAGATGACAATAAATAAACTAATTAGTCATGAATAATATTTGAGAAGAAAGAAACATGGATTATCGTTGCATTATTTAATATTTTTCAACACAATATAAAAACGGATCTTGGAAGTCAGCTGAGAAATGCAGCAAATGATGTCTGAAGCGACAGAATATATATATTTTTAAAGCAATTCTTGATAGCTCTACTTTTCCTGTATTGTTCTGAGTGTTCTCTTATCTGGAGTTGATAACGGTCGGGACAGAGAGAAGGGGCATTTCAATGCTTGACTGTCGCATTTTAATCGCGTCAGGATGCATCGTTAGCGCACGATAAGGACATTATGCACTACATTTTCTGTCATTTTGTCAATATACCAAAAGTTCCCTTGAGATATAATTTAGAACAATAGATGTACAATTCTCCCGTCATTAATATTTCGGTTTATTTTTGTGTACCGAACTGTAGGTACGTAATTATTTACTTCCTTCATTTGGAATCAAACTGATGGCAATAATTCTTGAATAATACGGAAACAACGTTTAAAATATTTGTTATGAATAGATGTGCATATATTACATATTGTAATAATTAATATTTTCTTGAATTGTAAATAATGCTGATCCGCCTCCAGAAAGGTATGAATAGTTTCTTAACTGTCATTTACCTAAGAAACTTGGGTGATTAACCCAAAACTATAGTTAGCTTAATTAAAGTAATTTCGGCACTTTTCAAAATTTGAATGCCTAATAAAATAGAACAATTTAGTGATATATGCGCCATTCAGCCAATAAATCACTTACGGCGAAAGCTCACAGTATTAATGTATCATAACCTAAGATCGACGAAGAAAAGATATCGTGAGAATAGTTTGCATGATTAACAGTATAGTGTGAAAGGGAAATCGCAAATTTCCTGTCGGTTTCTGAGGTATAGTTTTTATAAATATGTTTTCTATGTGTGAGGAGCAGTCGAATTACCATCCTTAGATGTGCAGTTTTGAAACATTTACTTCAAATCGAACCATAATTTTTGTTACTTAACAGCAATGCATGGTATCAATGGTGCATGCGATGCAACTAATACACATGCATACAATGCAACATAAGCAGAGCCTAGAAATTGGAATGGGTTTCAAACTATACGCTAATGCAAAACCGTGAAGTGGAGAAATGCAGTTTTTAAAAGTATCTTTGTACACGTAGGAAGAGGGAATGAATATTTTATTCGCTATTCGAGTGCGAACGAAACAGCAGAGTGCCTCACGGTGGCATGCGTTCTTATAGATGTGAGAAATAAAGGCCCTGCATGGAGGTGATCCCGGATGGATGAGAGGTTGGAGTGATGGCAAAATGAGTGTGAGAAAAGCCAGGAAGTGGATTGCAATAACTACAAGGTTCAACTGTTAGAGCTCTTAAATTTTTTATGGAGGTTGCAAATATATATGAAGAGAGTGAGCACTGAGAACGTGCAGGCTACGGGAAGGGGTATATTAATTTCTATTTGATTTGGCACGTCAGGAGTGTAAGGATAAAGCTAAGTGATGACAAGCTTTAGGGTAAAAAGACATGTTGTAGAGTAAGATTCAGATTCAAGTTCAACCTTTTTTTTCTAGCTGAGCATTGTGGCTTGAACTCAAGTCGCGAGGCTTCTCTCTCTCTACCCCCCCCCACAAAAAAATAATTCGCTAAATTTCTTGCAAAGACATAATGTTTTTTCCGACCGTTCGATTAGGCCTACTATTCGATGATTTGTTTATTATTTTGGGTGCATTTTCGAAGCAAGTTATGATCAATCAAAATGAAACCTAAATAAAATCTTTTTCTGAATCTTTTTTCACTAAACCACATTACATCCGGACAGGACTCACAACCGCGGCTTTCCAAGGCATATCAATCTTTCAACAATTAATAGAATTCCGCAGCTCTCTTTCTGTAACTCAAAACTACAATGACTGTATTACTTTCGAACTAATAAAGAGTTATAAAAGCAATATTGTTGTCTCTTCATCTTACGTTAATAATGCTAAACGGCGTCTATCCCTTAAAATTTTTTATTATTTGTTTTTGCGACAGAATTCGATTTCGATTCGATGATTTGTTTATTGTTTTGGGTGCATTTCTAAAGCAAGTTATGATTTTTGGGAAAATTTTTAATTCGATTAATTACAACGCAATTTTTTTCAAATTTCTCGTCTGAACTCTTCCGCACCCAAAAAGATCACACTCAGGTAATCATTTTGATTGAATTCCTAAAGAATAATTCATACAGCGTGTCCTGACAAGTATTTATAATGGCATGAAACTACTAAAAATGAAATTACTTATATATAGTATAATTGGAAATTTTATGACATGCACTTCTCAACACTTCTTCTCATGCATGCACTTCTCAACGGTGGTTGCACATGAAATTTAATGAACATGAAAAACTGAAATTTAATTTGAGCTATTTCATTAAATTTAATTGGCATGATAGTATCATACGAAGACAAACGAATGAAAGAAAGATATGTTTATGATTAATAACCACTGCATGATGGTGATCAATTAATGAATACGAATAGTGTTAAGTCTTATAATTTAAAAACCGTTAATTATACCTTGAGAAGTTGTAACAAGGAACCCCTAGTCAAATTATCTAATTTTTGCGACAAAATATGAGTAAACGATACTGATCACGAGGAAAGGTTCCTCTTCAAACATTATACTCTGATCTGAATGAATATATTCTTAATTTCGTGAAAAATAAAGAGAATAATAATTAAGGATGCTTGAATTGGAATTTTTATAGTTATAATATCGGGAATACCTCACGAAAAGCTTATTAGTGTACTCAGGATTTTGAATATGGCTTGCCTGCATTCTATAGAGACACAAAGACCTATAAGCTAGTCTCGCGCCGTGCTATTCTATTATACCACGCTCACCATTCATTGAATTTACTCGTATAAAGCGTGTGAACCACTGTTAAACAGATGGAAATTACTCTAATTTATAAAATTATTATTGCTATTGTCAGAATATGGGGATTGGATAAATTTTTTAACAGCAGATGACTAAAAAATGCGATAACAATAAATTCTTCTTTAAGATTTTGGAGTTCGAAATTTTCAGAGATAAAATTTATTATGCGCGCATTGATCAGTGGGACTAAGTATATTTTTAAAAATCCACAACTAATTCACTCAGAAACAAATACTTATTTTCTGAATTATTTGAAATTCAGATATTTAATGATTGGACAATAAAATTCAAAACGAAATAAAATTTTTTATTATGGGGTATAGGATAGTTGCGTACGTCAATGTTTCAAGATTTTGAATTTGTTTCCAGAATTTTCCAGTTTATATAGCTATGCATTGTTGGCTGGCCGTCTATGAGAATGTGCCAATAA